GGCTTTGGCTAGTCGAAGGCTCCTGTTGTGGATTCCTCGAGAAAATTCACCTGTCTTGGCCTGGGCAACCTGGCAGTATTCATCCCACAAGCCAATCATGGAACGTTTTTCCTTGTCATAAAGATTATTGTATCATGATTTGTCTGGATTCAAACATGTGAGTATATATATATATATATATATATATATATATATATGGCAGCTGTAGCACTGGCAACTTTTTTGAATGTGTGTGTGGCAAAGAAATGTTCGATGTTCTAGGCTACTTCGTTTCTCAAACAAGCTGTTTTTATCTCTGATGCAGTCGTCCCGCATAACGGATCACGTGTTTGTTTTAATTTGTTAATGGACTAAGAAAAGTCAGCCGTCCGGTTTTGCCATGCTCCGTTTTGTTTTATTGTAGCCACTGTTGGCGAGTATGAACAAGTAAAATCAACCGGTTTGTGTCACTGTAGGTTCTCGATGAACACGTTCAGCATTCACAATTCGCCACGAATTCACCAGGCTCTACTGACCGGTAGATATCTGCGAAATCAATTCCAAATGTCTTCTGGATGCTTTCCATTGACGGAAACAATGTTGCTCCAACTGGTGCTTATACATAGTATATATACATATATATATATATATATGTATATGTATATGTACATATAAATATATTTATATTGTGTGCCAAGAAAATCACGGTACAATAATCTTTATGACAAGGAAAAACGTTCCATGATTGGCTTGTCGAGAAAATTCACCTGTCTTGCCCAGGCCAAGACAGGTGAATTTTCTCGAGGAATCCACAACAGGAGCCTTCGACTAGCCAAAGCCTGACCCGCAAGGCAGCGGGGCGGTGTGCGAAAACCGCAATCCATTGGGGGCCGGTGTCCAGTTCATCGGATCATACGCCCTTCGGACGGGGTCGAATGTCCAAGATGCCCAATCGAGCCGGTGACCATTGCCACAACCGAAAAGAAGTGGGTGTGGTTCTTACGCCTCCCCTTGATTGGTTTCGAATCAGGGTTTTTAGTCAACTCCCCTGGGTGAACTACCAGTGGTCCATCAACCCGGTTATAGCCCCGGATATCGGCTTTTCGTCCTCTCACTTTGGTGGGAAAACACGTCCGCCACGAGAAGGCAGTGAGTAGGGCTTCCTCAGCAGAGGCTGCTTGAGACGCTTGGTCGTGTGGGAGCATTTTGTGGGGTGCAAGGGAATGGTGACCAGCCGCAACCCTGGACACCGACCCCCGACCATACTGTGGCTTTCGGATGCTCATGCATTTCATAACCTACCTCTTCAATCCATGT